AGGCTCCATTATTGATAGCAATTTAAATCCAAAATTTATACCCAGCAGTTTAAATACAAATCAAATTTTGTACCTTAGAGATACATGTTAAGTTCATGATAAAGTTGGGAGTTTTAATTTGATACTTGCAATATCTATCTACCTGTAATGATGAGTGAATTATGAATGCAGTGGAACTATCTTAAAACTACCTATTAGGGCTTAACCCAGTCTGACTTAGAGGTAACTACAATTTTCAACATAATGGGCCTTTTCCGCTTATCTAGTTGTTTGAATTGTTTGAAGTTTGTTTAACAGGGAAGTAATTCCCTTGATGAGTCACAATTTTCTTTTATTTCCCTATTCGTAATTAATTATGGAATTGTCATAAAGTTTTTCTGATTTTGCTTCATGCTGCAACTCTATTCTTCTGTTTACTCTCTGTAAATCAGAATCAGAATCAGAATCAGAATTGCAGGTTTGTTTGAAATTGCTTGGAGTCTTTTAAATATAAAAATTGGCAACGATGAGGTTCTGTTTAGGGTAGACTTAAACTAAGACTGGATCGTGTAACAGCTGGTCTGAAATGAGTACATAATATGGACCCGCAGGTCTGGGGGTGGCCGGTCTTAAAGTAGATAAAACGTAAATAATATTTAAACCTCCATTTTCCAACAAGACGTTTTGAGTTCCTTCTAAAACTTCGAAGTGCCACAACAAATATTGGAAGGAACGTCATTTTGCCAGTGAAAAAATGGCGTCAAGTAAGTTGACTCCCCATACTACGCTGTTCGTAAAGGATTACGTTTTGCACAAGTTAGACCTTCTGAGAAAAAAACTAAGCTAGTTCCCCCACTGCCTGCAATCCGTAACCGTCATTCTTTAACACCTACATAATTTTTTTCTAAATGATCAGGACCGTCCGGAACGTCAAAAAAACGAAACTTGAGTGATTTTTTTTTATCTTTGGCATTTTTCTCCGCCGCCTCTGGACCGATTCATTGTCTTTGACATAACAGTAACAATGTTCGAAAATTTCATCAAAATCTGTGAGGTACTTCTCAAGTTATAGGCGGTTATGATTATCGGACAGACCGACAGACAAACAGACAGACCGACGCAAATGAGTGACATTGTCTTTCGTGATGTACATATCATTAGATAACATCCAAAAGAAATAATATTTCATATTCGAAATTTTGCGCGATTACACTATCTCCCCACCAGTAGACGTGGGAAGTAAGAACGCTCAACTTTGCAATGGCAACTGCCTCTTTCACACGAATATTCGTATACCTCGCAGTAACCATGTGTCAATTCCATTGCATCAAATCTCAGCGTACTAATTCAATCGGGACAAAAAATAAGTAGGGGGGCTTTATAAAAAACATTGTATATTTAAACAACGATGACATGGATTCTCGACCTTCCAAGCATCTGACACACAGTCTGGCATTATCGCAATAGAATTCGTAAGTTTGACAGGTACATGCAGTGACGGTATTTCAGTTGAAAGACTACAGGGGCTTAAGAGGAACGGGTATTTTGTTTTTCTGAATATATATACAAGATTTCTTCGTACCAAGATATAGTGCGTTTCACCATAAATGTCATTCCTACTTATTTTTGAACGGATCAAGCCGAAATTAGGTGTGGTAAGATTGATGCATGGATTTTGTTTTACCGTGAAAGTGACAGTTGCAGTGACGTATGTACGGGAAGGAAGGGGGAATCCCCCAAAGACCGCTAGAAAAAGAAAAATACGCTGTAAGTTCACTAATACTTTTATGTCACAAGGGCAGCTGCACTGATGCTGATATTCGCATCTTCAGCAAAATCATTTCTCAACGACAGATAATTACAAATCCAAACATCTCATTTTCCTTTACCCTCCACCCTACCACCAATTTACTCCTTAGGCAGGTAGGAATTTCAACATGGCGGGATCTCTCCTAAGAAAAACTCCTGTATGCGCACATGTTGGCTCAGATAAGTATTATAGAATGATGGACTTTTAATCAAGAATAAGAAATGTAAAGATTATAAATTCCATGTATCGTGCGCATGATACAGGTATAGTGGAGGACTATTAGAAGACCCGACACCTAAGCACATTTGGCCGCCTATGTTGTAAAACTAAAATTTGTTAAATTTCAAGCTTTCGGATACTATTTTGCTCTAATAAAAATGTATGGGTACCAAAAATGCAATGAAGTAAAAAATTACATTGTTTTTAAACACCCTAATAGTCCTATACCATAGAAAAATTGGGGTACGTGATGTATTATAGATAACATGCTTTCTAGTCATTTTTGAGCCATAATGTCATTACTTTTGAAATTCTCATGGCCAAAGATATGACGTATATTTTCAGTTTTTCAAATTCAAAGTTGAAATTGTACCGAAAAGGAATGAAACAATGAATAAATGTTAATAATCAATTTTTAATAATTCGTTTATATGAATTATCCATTTCAATCGATCAATGTAAAAAGCGTATTAGTACGACAGATGCAATCAGTCGGATAAAGTTCTCACAAAGAAAGACAAGTAGCATTGCGGAAACTTGGACGATAATCAAAAGACAATCGTAGGTATGCCCGCAATAAGGGAACAGGATCAGAAATATTTTGGAAAGTCTTTTTTAAGGAGATTCAGAAAATTGTTTTTTCCCTCCGGTCAAAAAGCTTTTAGGTTTTTTGGGACATTCTGAACAAACCATTGAGCGATTGCGTCCTGAAATGCTTTGGAGTTTTGTAAATTGATGTTTGAAGAATACAAGTATTTAGCAGCATTGGCAACTTAAAATTTCATTCATTCCGAAATATTGTTTTTCGGGGACAAAAACATTACATATTTCGAAAACTATCAACTTAAGAGAAAAGTTCTAGAGTACCATTTCTGTTCCAAAAATTCTAAGCGCCCTTTGACTGTAGCAAAAGAGTAAACTTTGGGATTTGTTAAAAAAATTGATTTAAACATTTTTGACGAAGATTTGGTCCTGGTTAGGTTCTAATAATGGTGTTTTGTTAGGCGTCCTAATGTTTGACATTGACAAAAAAAACGAAAAGGTTCGAGAAGGGTCAAAACTACACCCACGCGTATCGTCAAAACAGTTTGACATATAAACTAGATATCCACATCTTGTTTTACTATCAGCGACATTCATGAAATAAACATTTGCAAACGATGCAGAAAGGGGGAATAAGGATTAACCCTTCAGAGTTTTGTGCGGCCTGGGCAAAGGATAAACTATCCGTCTGATCTCACATTTTTACGCGGAAGCAGCTGCGTAAGTAGGAGCCTAAACGCTAGGGCACAGCGGCTGCTATGAGGTGATTGAAGAAACTTTTGGTAATCCGATTTTTGAACTGTCTAGGGTTAGTAAGACACGGTTAGGATGGGAGGCTAGAGCCAGGCGGGTCTGTCTGGCAGGCACATGTGAGAGAGTCCTGAGCAGTAAAGCGTATTGGTGTAGCGGTAGAAAAGAGCTAGATCGCCGACGGCCTGTCCGTGCGAACGCAGCACCCCTATTATGTGAACAGTACTCTAGACTAGGTCTTATCTGGTCCTTGTACAGAGGGAGGAAGTCATGTGGAGAAAAATACTCCTTAGCCCTAAACAAATAGCCTAGCTTTTACCCATCAGCTGTCGCTATTGCCGAGATGTATTCGTGCCAGGTCGTCTTCCATGATCCGAACTCTGACCAGCCGAAATAAACGGCTCACCCGCGTTGACGTTGTGATCTTAAGTTGTAAGGGCTAATGATTTTCTGATAAATGAAGAACAGGGGGGGCAAGTGACGTTGGCTGGTCGGTCTTAATTTGGCCAGTGGGGGGGTCATGACCCCCTTGGATCCACCTTTAATTGGGAATTTTGCGCCGTCATGACACTGCGCCCAGTGACGGCAGCCTCACTTGCTTACATTCTATAGCCAGTAGCAAAAGCAAACCGAACCATAGAAAATAGCGCGGACATCTACCTAGTTGACCTGTACTATCGTTGCGCAGTGTAGGTGTGGCCAGTCTTATCACATGCTGTGTCAGTACGCCTCCGAAGCAAATTAACAACAAGCATGGAAGATCCTCGGTTTTTTAACCATACTGTAGGGAAAATAAGCCAGATTTTACACTCCGATTGCAAATATTACCGTCAATAAATACAGGGTGGCCAGTATGTAACTGACTGACTTAAATTGCGCGTCATTTTTGATACACGCATTTCAGTATGTGGCACCGTAGTAGTTGTTTAAAGCACATGTGTCCAATTCATAATGGAGCGCTACACGATCCCACAATGCGTCCGTATTGTTAAAACGTTTTACTTAAATAATGAGTCGATTGTTGCAAAGATTCGAACGCTACCACAAGATTTCGGTCGAAAAAGTGTGCCCAGTGTCAACACCATCTGTCAGTTGATGCGGAAATTTGTTCAAACAGGTGAACTTGAAGACTTGCCAAGGTCGGGCCGTGTTCGAACTGTTCGTACTCCGGAAAATACCGAGAGAGTTCGTGAAAGTGTAGTGGAGTGCCCTGAGACGTCTATCAGACATCGTTCTCAGGATCTGGGTATCCTTCGCACGTTATTATGCGGTATTTTGAAAAAAGACTTTCATTTGCGGCCTTATAAAATTTAGATAACCCAAGAACTACACCCTAGTGACCATGAAAGTCGCAGACAACACAGTGATGCAATTTTGCAGCTTAATACCCAAAATACGGACAACTGATATTAACGAATTTGTTAATAAGCAAAATTGTCATATCTGGGGATTAGAGAACCCACGGCCGCTAACGTGTGGTCTACGATACCCCATTGATAGATTATGTGTTACAATTTGGCAACGCAGCACATCTGGACACTAGGAAGCTAGATACCTTTTGGAGAAAGTATCACGGAGCGTTTTAGTCAGTTGGCAATATAAGCTTGTGCGCCAGTGTTCTGTTATTGCCAAAACTATACCGTAGCGATCTTAGCGACCTCACCTTAGCGAACGTGTACCGGAGATAAAAATTAACATCATGAGCAGTTTCCCTGATCGTATGCATCCTAATGATCCAAGATTTGAAGAGTGGGCGAGAAGTTTAATGGATCAAGATGACGAAGATATTAGATTCACTGAAAGTGATAATGAACTGGCAGTTTCTGACATAACAGAGGAGATACATGAAGAAGAATCCGATGTAGACTACATACCAGACGAAAATGAAACTGAAAATTGGTTGGAGGAAAGATGAAAGATTTTTTTATTGAAAAAGAGAGGTTTTTTCAATTGGTTCAAATGGTAAGAAAGTTCAGAATCTGTAACTACTAAAACATTTCTGGAGGTAATACTGAGGTGTGTGCTTTATCGTTGTTTTCTTTTCAGGCATAAAGACCAGCCTCCAGTCAATGTAAGGGCTAGAAAACATAACATTGTACTCACTCTACCTGGACTACGACCAAAAGCTAAACAGCTTGGCGCTAATCCGGAGATTGAAGACATCTGTCTTCTTCTATTTTCTGAAGATATGATAGCAGAAATAATTCAGTGGACAAATGTGAAGATCATTGATGCAAGAAAAAAGTATAAAGACCAGGCAAGTCCGATATTATCCACCACCGATGAAATAGAAATGACGGCTTTTTTAGGTATGCTAATATTTACCTCAGTTTTCAAATCAGGAAATGAGAGCATCGAGTCCTTGTTTGCCACAGATGGCACAGGAAGAGACGTTTTTCGATGTATCATGGCGAAAAGACGCTTTGAGTTCCTACTTACTTAGATTTGACGATGCAACTCTACGAAATGAAAGACAAATTGAGGGCGATTCTGTGCCTCACATATCAAAAATATTCAATAAATTCATAGATAATTCCCAGAATGCCTTCTCTATTGGCACTAATGCTACCGTGGATAAGATGATCGTAGCATTCAGGGGCCATTGTAAATTTAAAATATATATATATATGCCGAAAAAACCGGCTCGTTATGCAATCAAAATAATGTGCCTGACAGATGCCCGAAATAATTACCTTTATAATGCCTATATTTTAAATATATTTTAAAATTGAAAATACCAACGCATTCTGTAATCAGGCTAGTGGGACCAATTCAAAAAACCAATAGAAATGTTACAGCTGATAATTGGTTTAGCTCTGTGGAATTGGTTCAAGAACTCCAAAACAGGGGTCTAACCTACGTAGGTACGCTAAAAAAGAATCGAGCTGCAATTCCACCAAGCTTTAAAGCTAACAAAAATCGAAAACTCTACAGCAGCCTCTACAGATACAATAATGATATGACTTTACTTTCTTTTGTACCAAAATCTTCAAAATCAGTTATTCTGATTTCATCTATGCATCATTGTGAATCAACTGTTCAAGAAACTGGTAAGCCAGAAACAATAGCATATTACAATTCGACAAAAGGTGGCGTGGATAGTTTCGACAAAAAAGGCTGCAAACTATAGTCCAAATCGTAGGACACAAAGATGGCCTATGGCAATATTTTTCATGCTTGTTGACGTAAGTACAATAAATGCTTATGTTTTGAACTCAAGCTACAAAGATACTCAAAAACTGGAAAGGGCAGATTTTCTAAAAAAGTGAGCAAGAAGTCTGGTTTTGCCACAATGGAGAGTTAGAATGGCAAATTCAAAACTTCCCAGAGAATTGCGACTGACAATTGAAAACTTATGTGGGAGCACTGACTATTCTGCCATAGCAGTGAAGTCCTAGGAGATCGCTTGGAAAAAAGAGCAACATGTTACAGATGTCCACCAAAGTTGAAAAGGAAAACTCGATACGGATGTGCGTCATGCAAGAAACCCATATGCTTGCAATGTCCAACAAGATGTGCATTGAATGCGTGTTAGATAGGAAGTAACTTGGAAATTGCCAGAAAAACATTTTTGTGTTGTTTTCTATGTTTATGTTATCGCTTAGTCTAACTGAAACTTAATTACATTGTTGTTTGAGCATTTAAAAACAAATATTTTTAATAAAAACGTTGTACCATTCATAACAAAATAAGAAAAACCGATAGCGGTATCTTAGACCGCACGTTAGCGGTTGTGTGCGACTGTCGCACGTTAGCGGTTAAAGTTTAAAGACTCTGCAGGTAATTCTCTTACTGTCACCGGCGAGCGCTACCGTGATATAGTGCAAACCTTTCTGGGGCTCCGCAAATCTGAAAATTTAACCTACAAAACATGTTGTTAAAGCAGGATGGAGCTACGGAAACAGTGAATCTCTTGCGAACAATATTTCCGGGACGTTTAATTTCTCGATTTGGTGATGTCAACTGGCTACCAAGGTCACCGGATTTAACGGCTCCGGATGTTTTTTCTATGGGGATTATTGAAAAATAGGGCTTATGCCAACGAACCCAATGCTGTAGAACAGCTGAAGAATAATATTACGGAAGCAATTCAAAATATTCCACCCGAAACCTACCAAAAGGTGAGAGAAAATATTAACAAGCGGGATCAAGCTTGTGCGGCTTCTAGATGCGGAAATTTGTCTAATATTATTTTTCAAACATAAGTTCCAGTAAAAGATTAAGATGAAAAAAATGGACGTATTTTATTTCATTTCACAAATACTCAAGATACAAACCAGTCAGTTACATGTCGGCCATCCATAAGAAGACAACGTTTTAAAAACATGCTTTTATTTAGTCATTAATGAACGAACTGAAAACCAAAAAATATTTCCTTCTGATGCAATATAGTCGTTTTATACGTTTTAACCTTCAAATGATATTGAAGATCGCTCCTCACAGGGTTTCAAATAAGAGCGTGTGACACCTTCATCCTTTTGCTTTTGTTTGTATGTCTTTTTGAAGATTTATTTAGCATTAATGCTACAATGTCAATTTTATATAATTAGTCATTTGCACATTGTTTGAACCAATTTTTTATAATTTTACATTCTTGTTTATTAAAATAATATTAACGCGCATTTTGCGTATTCATAAAGCGATTTTTTAATTTCTCCTTGAACATTTTTAAATTCGAACGCTGTTCAATATTATATTTTTTAAATTCAAACACTCACTTTTGGAATACAGATTTGCTAGTTATGCTGCTACTGTTACAAGTCTGTAAATCTAACTGCCTATAGTTTCGTAGTTATGATGACGATTTAAGTTTTCTAAATATGGTGGTAAAAATGACCTTTTAATTTGAACATGAACATGAAAAGTAAAAAATATATTTTTTCGATTCAACCACTGTAGTCTTACTAATTGGAACTTAATTTTAGCATATTTGTTTTTATTTAAAATGATTCTCATAGCCTTATTTTGTAGAAATTGTGATTTTGAATAAATTTGTTGTAAACAAACTGGTTGAGCATTATAAAAAATGGGGGAGAATTATAGTGTTATACACAATTCTTTTGGAATACATACTGAGATTATAGGAAACTCTATAGAAGTAATTTATTTTTTTGACATTTTTGAAATGTATTCAAATAGTAGTTTACTATCCACATACATACCCAGATATTTGAATGACTCCACTACTTCAATTTTTTCATTATTAGTCATGAGCCTAATTGTGTTCTAACCTAAATGTTTCTCTATTGACATACATTTTGTTTTATTAATGCATAATTTGAGCTTATTATCATTCAACCAATTCATAATTTTTTTAATAACGCCTTCAGTTCTAAAGCAGTATCTGAATTTTTATGTTTATACTGTTAAATATAACAAACCTTCATTGGAAAACTTGATATAAAGGAGATTTATTTTCATTTACAAGTTAAGAAGTACAAAATTCCAATCGAAAAAAATATTTTTAAGTGTTTATTGCCTTTTATGAACGGCTAAATAAAACCTGTTCCTGCAAATGTTTTTTGCTTGTTTGATGTTAACCATCTAGCTCAATAATGTGTATGTACTACTTTATTTTTATTGAGATAAATCATGTAAGGGGTCATACGAATAAAAGGGATCAAATGCTTACACTTGCAAAACTCAAATTAAATGATTTGAGGGGAATTAATAAAATTATAAGCAAATGATTTTGCTTAAAAGGGCGAATATTTATTTGTTGAATACTGATGCTGCTATTTTGTAGGATCAGAGCCTGTTACTCAGAGGCTCTGCTGGTTTTTTTGCACGACTGTTGATAAATCTCTCAAAAGTGAACTACTAAAAGAAACGGCTCGCACCGTCAACTAGTAATTTTATAAAGTATGTTGCGGTTTGAAGGGGAAAATACGGAGTTGTTAGCTGAGAACTTTCTATGCGAGCGTTTAGAACGGCGTGGTGGCGCCTTGACAGCTTTTCACGGAATAAAGGTATTTTTCAAATCCAAGTTTTCAAAGCGAAACAGGCAATGAGCTAGGGATTGAGCAGCCCGCTGTTTCTGGCACTCTGAAACTGGTGATAAAAGTGGTAAAAAAATTATTCTATAGGCTAATCGTTGGATTCAGTTTTCTGAAAGTCGTCATCCTATAATGAAAGCTAAAGAACAGTGGGCGAGCAAATTCAAATTTCCGACTGCTATTAGAGCACTAGACTGTTCACATGTATTGTAAAAGAGAATCTTACGAGTTATTACAGGGGTTGATAGTATGTCGTCTTGCAGGAATATTTTTGTAAACACTAAAGTCATGACATTAGCTTGTATCTACATATACGAATTACAAGTATATGTCAAACTGACCAAATCCCAGCTTCGCGTCTTAAATGACCCCAATATTTACAGTACCAGAAGCTCGAAATTGCTTCAAGTACCAGCAGAGAGGAGACTGCTTCCTCAATATTTTAAATTAATAAGCATAATGGAGTATAAAAAATATTTAAATGATTCCTGCTAAACAAAGCATACTACGGTGTTAATGACAACGCAGTTATTTAGGCGGATACATGTCTTGTGCTAATTGAGGAAGATAATGTAAGTGTACCTAATCTTGTTTGTTTGGTTGCAATTTTTGTTTCTGAAGTAATTTCGTCTTTATCTTTTATCTTATTGTGAATATATTTATCTTTTGAAGATCCTGGAATAAATATATGTGAATTGTGAATTCCAAACTAGAGAAATCTAAATTATATGGGAACGAATGCGTAAACCGCAAAGGATGTATGGAATGTACTCGTACTATACATTACTGGGTGTAAGCCGGCCGGGTTCGGTAGATGAAGCGTCACAACGTGCGCTTTAGATATGAGCTTTTATTTTTCTTGTATGATGCATTTACTTGCAAGTAAAAGGTAATCGTGATTCCTATTGAATGTGGCAAT